TTCACTGAGCATAATACTCTAGTCCCTCCCATGTTAGGCAGTGATTTTCAAAATCATTACTCCTCCTTGCTGCTTAGTATTTCATCTTGTGAATGTATCATAATTTCTTAATTTATTTGATTGTGTTTGGACATTTGAACTGTTTCCATGTTTTTGTGGTGGTGAATAATGCTGCTAAGAAGATGGGTGTACAAGTCTCCATTTGTGCCTTGGTTCTCATTTTTTCGTGGTATGTTCCAAGCAATGGAATAGCTGGGTCATATGGAATATCCATGTTAAGCTTTTTGAGGAAATATCAAATGTCTTCCAGCATGATTGTACCATTTCACAATCCTACCAACTATGTATAAGATTTCCTATCTCTCTACATCCTCTTCAACATTTATTACTTGCCATCCTGTTAAACTTGGACACTGCTACTGGAGTGAGATAGTATTTCATTGTGGTTTTGATTTTCGTCTCTGTTATTGCCAGTGATTTTGAGCATTTGTTCATTTATATGTTGACCATCCATAAATTTTCCTCTGTGAAAATTCTTTCCATGTCTTAGTTTGTAATTGTGTTATCAGACTTTTTCTTGTTGAGGCCTTATAGGATTCTGAAAACCTTTGATATGAGAGCCTTTTCTGAAATGGCATTGCCAAATATTTTTTCCTCTGTCAGTAGGTTTTCTTTTTACTCTGTTGGAAAAAGTTTTTGATGCACACAGAGATTTAACCTTTAGGAGGTCACATTCACATTCATCAATTTTATAATCTCTTGATTGTGTATTTCAGGCTGTATTTGGCAGTCTTTTTATACCACAGACTAAGTCATCTAAGCTTGATCCCAGTTTGTTTCTGATGACCTTTATGGTTATGGGCTTTATTCCCAGGTCTGATTGACCTTGAGTTTATTTTTGTGTAAAGTGTGAAAGTGGTTCCACTTATTTCTGCTTCATATATACCATATTCAGATTATTAATGGTTGTTTGAAGCTATTTCTCCTTATTTTTTAGTAACTTCTCATCTGGACTTCACCAGCTACCCACATTCCTCCGTTGTTCATAAGGTATCCACTGGAGTCATTATGAGTCATGCTCAACTCAAAGGCAATCAACAACAACAACATATAAGAAATATAAATGTAGGAACACTGGAAGTTGTAAAAAAATAAAATGGAATGCATGTTGATCAATGTTCTAGGCATTTTCACTAGTGTTTCTTTTTTGGTTTTCATTAATTTTCACTGGAATAGTATGGACCATTTTGAATCAGACAATCACATGATCTACCATGCTGTGAATGAAAAACTGAAGATAAATGATATTACAGTCATAGTTAAAAAGACAATTTCAAAATCTACCCGAAAATACAATGTTGTGAGTGATAGGATATTATCCATATGCATATAAGGAAGACCTATTAATAAGACTGTTATTCACATATATGTACCAACCACTAAAGCCAATGAAGAGGAAATTTAGGATTTACCCCAAATATTGCAGTCCAAAATGGACCAAACATTCAATCAAGTTGTTTTAATAATTATTAATGACTGGAATGAAAAAGTTGGAAACAATGAAGAAAGAATTCTCATCAGAACGTATGGTCTTGTCATCAGAAAGGAGTATGGAGATAGAATGATAGGACTTTGTACAATCAGTGATTTATTCAAATACCTTTTTAAAAACCACAAAAGGCAACTTTACACATAGACCTCATCTAATGTACTGTACGAGAATCAGATTGACTATATCTGTGGAAAGAACTGTTGCTCTGTCTCAGCAGTGAAAACGAGGCCAGGTGATAATTGCAGAACAGACCATCATACAAGTGTAAGTTCAAATTGAAGCTGAATAAAATGAAAACTAGTCTACAAGAAGATATAAGTCTATCCCACTTGAATTTAAGAATAATCTCAATAACAAGTTTGAGCTACTGAACATTAATGATTGAAGACAAGAGGAACGGAGGGAGGACATCAAGGATATAATCTATGATGAGAGCCATTACAGAGGAAAAAAACTCAAAATGAATGTCAGAAGAGTATGAAAATAGCAGTAGAGCATCAAGAAGCCAAAACAAAAAGAAGAGAAGCAAAGGGCAGCTTGAGACCACAAAGTAAAATAACAAAATATACAAAAGCTGGAGGTAAAAAATAAAGTGGCAAGAACTCATGTGGTATTTCTCAACGTGAAAGCTCTGCAAAACAAAACAAAACAAAAAACAAAACAACAACAAAAAGTCTCTAATTGCAATGCTAAGAGATGCTATGGGCAAAATCTTGATTGATCTAGGAAACACCAAAAGAAGTTGAAAGAAATACACAAAGTCATTATATTGAAAAGAATTTGCTGACACTAAAATATTTCTGAAACAAACATATGAACAAGAGATAATGGTAATGAGTGATAGAGTTCAAGCTGCACTGAAGGCTTTGGCAAGGAATAAGATCCCAGGAATCAATGGAGTATCAATTGGCATGTTTCAAATGGCAGACCCTAGATGTGCTCAGCAGTACATACCAAGAAATTTGGAGGACAGCTGCCTGGCTGATGAACTGGAAGAGATTAATATTTCTCCCATTCCCAAAAATGAAGACCCAATAAAATGTGAAAATTATAGAACAATAGCATTTATACCAGATGCAAGCAAAATATTACTGAAAATTATACAAAAATGGCTAAACTTTACATTGATAGGAACTGCCACAAGTCCAAGTGAGGTTCTACAGAAGTAGTGGCACCAGGGATAAAATTGCTGATATCAAATGGCTCTTGACTGAAATAAAAGAATACCCAAAGAATGTTTATTTATGTTTTATTGACTATGGAAAGCATTTGACAGTGTGGATCATAACAAAGTATGGCTAATATTGAGAAGAATGAGAATTGTAGTCATTAATTGTGCTTATGTGAATCCTATACCTAGTTCAAGAAATTGTTGTCTGAATGGAACAAGGGAACATTGCATGATTTAAAATTAGAAAAGGTGTGCATCAGGACTGTATCCTTTCTCCATACCTATTCATTCTGTTTGCTGAGCAAGTAGTTAATGAAGCTGGATTCTTTGAAGAGGAATGTGGCATCAGGATCAAAAGACTCATCAACAACCTGAATAAGTCAGAAGACACAACAGTGTTCACTGAAGTTGAGGAACACTTGAAACGCTTGCTGCAGAAGATCAAAGACTACAGCCTTAAGTATGGATTACATATCAATATTAAAAAACCCAAAAGTCCTCATCTTGGGCCAGTAGAACATATCATGATAGATGGAGATAAGAATGAAGTTGTCAGTGAGTAGTCTTCCTTGGATTAACAATCAACACCTTCGGTAAAAGCAGTCAGGAAATCAGATGTTTTACATTGAGCAAGTTCACTGTCAGGAACCTCTCCAAAATACTTATAAGCAACCATGTCAGTTTGAAGATGAAAGTGGGTTGATTCAGGCCATGGTCTTTTCACTCGCTTACTATGCATCTGAGAGCTGGGAAAATGGGTAAGGATGTCAGAAGAATTAATTCCTTCGAGTTGTGGTGTTAGAGAAGAGTGGCAAATATTTCTTGGACTATCAAAGGAGCAAACATATCTTTCGGAAAAAGTTCAGCCACAGTACTCCTTGGAGGAAAAGATGGAAAAGCTTCATATCTCATACTTTAGACATATTACTAAGAGAATCTATTCTTTGGAAATGAACAACATGTTTGGAAAGATGAAGGGTCAGTAAAAGAGAGGAAAACCCTTAGTGAGACACAAGGCCTGCAGCAATGCGCTAAAACTTGTGAAAAATGCCTTTTGTTCATTAGCTCTCTATGAGCCATCCTCAACTTCAAGGCACCTACCAACAACAACCATGGATAAGAAGTTGCACTGTAAATCCAATGGTAGAAGGTTAGAATCCATCAACTGTCCTGGAGAGAAAGATGAGTACTCTCCTTCTGTGTGATTTACAGCTTCTGAAATGAGTGATTTTCAACTCAAGAGCATGTAACAACCACAAAAACAGTCCTAATAGCATGAGAATTTCACATGTATCATGTAATCATGTAAATGCCTCTGAAAGCTGTGAAAAAGTCATTATGAAATATTTAAGCACTCAATTTTACCTTTGTCTATTTTAAAATTTAACTAGAAAAAGAAAAAGAAAAGAAGGGATATAAGGTCTTTATTTAATTACATTACAAAATTTTCTTCTATTTGCAGGAATCATTTCAATGGACCCTTGCTTTGTTAACCTAAAAGTTTGCTTAAATGTTTTTTTAGTTGTTAAAAAAAAATAAAAAAAATAAAAGTTGTTATTGTTAGTCCCCTCTGGTCTCCAGCTACCGTAACTTGCAGACATGTGATCTTGCAAATTATCACTAGCTGTGGGACTAGGATAAGAGAAAAAGTGCTTCCCACACTGAGTAGCAATACTTGAGGGAGACTAGAGTAAGACCCTGCTGAAAGCAAGAGACCCTGGTGATGGTGGTGAGAAAGACTATGGCATTGCTGTGGAGAAACTGTAGCAAAGTGTGACCTAAGGCTTCTTGCCTTTGTGCTGCTTAAAGTTAAATGTTTTGCTGTTCTTGCTGGATACTTGAAGAAAAAGCTGATTTATCACTACTCTAAGGCAAACTTCACTGGATGATGGAGGGAACCAGAGGGTTCTTGAATTTGTGTTACTGAACTAAATTTGAACTTTTACTAAACATGGACTTACATTGTGAGATATTCTTTGCTTCCTCCACTTTCCAACTTACTTCCCTAATAAACATCATTCTTGGTATCACAACTGTGAGTCAACAGTGAATAAACAAACCTCTCACTGCTGGTAGCGTTCTACAGGCACCATGAGACAGAGCTAACAGTTCTTTATCTTCTTTGTGTTCTGAGGCAATGAAAGGCTGTGCTACTCTCACTCCATCTAACCCTTCCAGAGAGACATTCACAACCATGTGTCCCATGTCCTATTTTAGCAACCCTTTCCAGATTTTGAAGAGATTCATTCAAGCAATTGTTCAGCACAAATCTATTTATCATACCTTCTGTGGAATCTTAGCAATGGCTGAGGCAATCATGTTAGTCTTTTCTTCTGGAAGGCTTTTGACCATTGATCCCAGAGTGAAAACAACAATGCCATCTTCTCCAGAGCTCTGAACAAACTCTTCCATTTCCTGTAAATATATTATTTGTATGTGTAAAACAACAATAATATGGGGACATTTAGGCTTATTTCATATTGTTCAAGTGCACTGCAATCTTGAAAACACAGACTTCAAAGGCCACCAGTCACTCTGCAGGAGTAGGATGGGCTATCTTTCCTGTGCTATTAATTAAAATCTGTGGAAGGGTCAGCTATGGGTTGGTTCCTACTTGGCAGTACACAACAACATTAACAATGGTAAGTAGAGAAAAATTGTTAAACTAGTCCTGTATTGTAACATGCCAAATCATTAAATCTTTTTGAAAGATGGTTCACACTAAATTTACCATCTTTTCCCTTTTAACAGTACTCTCAACAACTAATGAATAGCCTAACATACTATGTAACATTTATAATTTTATATTTTTAATGTTTATTTTATACTGGTTTATTTACAAAGTTTGTACATATTGTTTTTTCACACTGGATCTTTCCCATTTCCCTCACAACCTCCTACCCATTAAGTTTTGCTACCCAATGTTTAATGTGTCTCTCCCCATCCACACATTTATGATTTTAGATGAGTGCTAAAAAAGAAATAATATAGATTAATTGCTTTAAACAGTATCAGTGCCATGAATAGTTTTATGGTCCTGTGATAACCAATACTGAGACTTAGCAAATAATAGCTTGATAATTAGTTCTAAGGAGATAAGAAGTGGCCAAAGAAATTGCTTACTTACTAAAGTTAAAATTAGCAACTGGTGCAGTAGCACTAGTTTTAAGACATCATTTCAATTCATTTACCAATGCAAAACATTATGATGTTCTAAACTCTCCCCAATCCCAATTTAGCAAAGCTCTTTCTAATATGGTCAAGCTCGGACCTGAACACCTTGTAAAAAACCTTGCAAACACCATCTTCTGATTTCCTCTTTCTGAAATAATAATACATTTTTTTCAAGGTGCTGTTTTCTCTGCTTTCAATTCCAACCAAATGAAATTTTGATAACGGTTTTGTATGTCTACATAAATGTGCATGTGTGTGGTTTTCGAGGAGTTGGAAGTTGATTTAAGTATTCCAAAGGCTCTGAACTTACAAAGTTCCTTGAATAAATCCCTTTAACCTTGTGATATCTGTAACTAAAATCCTTGAATTACTGGCATATTATTCCTTGTCCAGTAAATTTATGAGCTCTTTAGAAGGAGTTGCACTGCTAACCCAAACTCCACACCTTTCTGGTTGTTTGAACCTACCAGCAGTTCTCAGGGAGAAAGATGAGAAATCTCCCAGGTAATTTACAACCTTGAAACCCAATGGAGGTTCAGCAACACGTTGGTTCTGACTTGATGACAACAAGTGAATGTTATCTTTCTGGGTAGTTTTATTTTGTTGTGTGGACTTTCACAACTCTCAAAAGTACACAGAATGACAATTATTTTTGTATAAGAAAATTTTGTTATAAGTATATGTATTAATAAGGACATCTGTTATTAACTTCAGCCTTTTCTGCAGTGTCAAATCCTATACCAACATATCTTTAGACTGCAGTTTATGTTAAGACTTTGATCTATTAAATTATTTTCCTGGGGATATTAAGTTACATTTCTTAAAGATGTGAATACTTGTGAAAACAAATTTTCTTTAAGATACTTTATATTTCTGAAACATACTATGATAAGATTGAGTCGATTACATTTTATATTGTCCATTCAAAGAACTGGTAGGGTTTTTTTATATAATTTTTTATTTTTAAATTTTTTTATTACAGAGGTTTTGGATTTCCATTCACTCATTGCCGCAATTTTCTCCCTTCCCAACCCTCCCCACCAGCTCGCTTCCCCCTCTGAAGAGAGAAAGAAAAAGAAAAAAATTCCTTCATTAGTATACAATTCCCATGTCCCTTCCCCCCACCCCCCACCCCGAGTACACTTCTCTATGCAACCTTAATTCTGGATTTCTGTGCTAACCATAATACTCAATCATATATCACTTCTAATCTGTTCTTTCCCTCATCTGTTTCAATACAATATAC